GCTTGATTAATTGTCTATGGTTCCTTTCATGCTAATGGCAGAGTTGAGTAGTTGCAATAAAGATCATATGGCCTGAAAGCTCAAAACATTTACTATCTGGCCCTTTACAAAAAAAAGAGTATGTTGACTCTGGATTTAAAGCCAGGGCTTCCCCACATAAAATCTCTGTCACTGAAGTGTGCGGGGGTGGGGTGGAGGGGAAGAGTCCTGCTACCTCTGGAATCATCACATACAGGACCAGGTCCTTGCCAGGCATCACAAGATAATCCAGGCTGATCCACTGAGACCCTGTGTTTCCTAGAGGCCTTGGGGTCCTTTGGCTCTACCAACACAGTCACCACCAAGTCTTCTTCCAGCCTACCTTGAAAGGCAGAGAAAGACCCTACTCATTTTGTAATGTGAACACCTTGAAGAACCCAGACTTCTGAGATGTATTTGAAAAGGCCAGGGGCACCCACCACATTTCCTCCATCTTTTCCAAGGCATAGGCAAAGCACTGGGGAGCACAGGGCCCTGTCATCTTTCCACTCTCGCCATATAACATCCAGACACTCTAGATGTATTCTAAGAGGGTTAGACATGGCATGAAACTGTCAAAAATACATGCAATAAATGTGTATAGAACATTTCTGGAAGGAAAGCAAACACAAGTAACCTTTACAGTGGGTACTTCCAGGGAGGGAGACTGTGGGTCTGGGGGAGGAGAGACACTTTTCAGTGTATTGTTTCAATTTCCCTTTTCCTTATGTATGTATTATTTTATTTTTAGTTTTATTTTTTTGAGACAGAGTCTCGCTGTGTTGCCCAGGCTGGAGTGCAGTGGTGCGAGCTCAGCTCACTGCAACCTCCACCTCCCGGATTCAAGAGATTCTCCAGCCTCGGCCTCCTGAATAGCTGGATGACAGGTGCCACACCACCACACCCGGCTAATTTTTGTATTTTTTAGTATAGATGGGGTTTCACCATGTTTGCCAGGCTGGTCTCGAACTCCTGGCCTCAAGTGATCCACTCACCTTGGCCTCCCAAAGTGCTGGGATTACAGGCGTGAGCTACCATGCCCAGCCTGTATTATTTTATAATTAAAAAAAAAAAAAACAACACACGCACAACTAAATGAAGTCACCTCTACAACCTGTGAAACAAGCCACCATCTTATCTATTCTGGGACCATAAATAATTGCTGTTTTCATCAAGATGGAAAGTTTTACAAAGTTAACCATGAAGGGGATCTGCCCTAGGGCAGAAGTGGGAAGGGGGCAATGGGGTGAGTGAAGGGTGAGGCAGAGGGTCCACATGAGGGCCTCCAATTCTGGAAGAGAACAGAAGTTAAAGGTGCTTCTAGGAAGACAGAAGTCATATTTTAAGACAGAAACTCTCCCCCTAACCTTTTTTAATAGTAAAGAATGCTCAGGCCAGGCCCGGTGGCTCATGCCTGTAATCCCAGCACTTTGGGAAGCAGAGGTGGGTGGATCACGAGGTTAAGGGATTGAGACCATCCAGGCCAACATGGTGAAACGCCGTCTCTACTAAAAAATACAAAAAATTAGCTAGGCGTGGTGGTGTGCGCCTGTAGTTCCAGCTACTCGGGAGGCTGAGGCAGGAGAATTGCTTGAACCCTGGAGGCTGAGGTTGCAGTGAGCCAAGATCTTGCCACTGCACTCCAGCCTGGTGCCTGGTGACAGAGTCAGACTCTGTCTCAGAAAAAGAGAAAATAGAATGCTCAGAGCTTTGGGGATGGTGCCCGTGTTCTTGGAAGCGAAGCAAAGCTGCTACATTCCCTAATGGGTCCATTCTGTGCTTGTTCTCAGGGTGAGAGGAAGGAAGGAGAGAGAGGACGCTGCCAGAAGAAGACTAGGATCTATGATACCTGGAGGTTGGGAGAAAAAAAGAAAGCAGGGTGATCAGGCTTTGGGATAAAGCAGACAGAAAGGTTCCTAAGGAGCCTCTTCCCTGCAGAAGCAGAGCTCGGGCCACCAGGAGAAGAGCAAAGGACCCTCACTTCCCAAGACCAAATGACGGAGCAGAAGAGGCCTCCATGTGGGTCAGGAAGAGAGGGGGATTCTACCCATACCTGCATACCTGCTCCAAATACACCAGGTATCAAATGTCTTGCTGTGGTAGGCAGAATTTTGGTCATGTCCTTCTCCCCTTGGTGTTACTCCCATGAATATGTTGATTTACATGGCAAAAGGGACTTTGCAGATGTAATGAAGGTTACAGATGACTTTAAGATAGACAGATTATATGGGATTATTGGAGTGGGCCTACTCGAATCACAAGAACCCTTAAAGCAGAGATCCTTCCCTAACTGGTGGCAGAAGCAGACAGAGCAAAGCAGGGGCAGAGCTCGACATGCAGTTGTTGGCTTGAAGATGACGGTGGTGGCATATGTCAAGAAAACGGGTATCTCAGTCCTACAACTATAAGGAACTGAATTCTGCCAGCAACCTGAATGGGCCTGGAAGGGGAATCTTCCCCAGAGCCTTCAGATTAGAGCCCAGGCTGGCCCACACCTTGATTCTGGTCTTGTGAGATTCTAAGCAGAGGATAATTCCACCTGTACTTCTGACTTATAGAAACTGTGGAATCATAAATTTGTACTGTTTTATGCTGTTAAATTTGCGGTTAATTTGTTATGGCAGTAATAGAAAATTAATACGCCTCCCAAAATAAAAATGAAATCAATTCCAGAAATTGTTCTTGAGCACTTACAAGATATGAAACTCTAAAATTCCAGGGCCACAGGGTAAGGGCATATTCTAGCTACCCAGGAGGAATACAGCTATCATTAGATAGGATTTCCACCCAGCCAGAAGCAATGAGGCTGAAATGCTGATAGCCCCAGGAAAGAGCTAGTGAGACTAACATGGGAGGACAAAAGAGGCCCCTACCATCAGACAGATGGCCTCATCAAGGAGGAAAGGGTGGACGGCAGGAGGTGCTGGCCATGCCATTTAATTGACTAAACAGTCTTGACTGGGCTGGCCTCTACTTTCATCTTTGTGAATCAGACAGGAACCTTCCTGATGTAGCTCTGCACAAAATGGCCTGACTGGATCACGAAGTCAAGAGATAGAGACCATCCTGGCCATCATGGTGAAACCCTATCTCTACTAAAAATACAAAAATTAACTAGGTGTGGTGCGCATGCCTGTAATCCCAGCTACTCAGGAGGCTGAGGCAGGAGAATTGCTTGAATCCAAGTGGCAGAGGTTGCAGTGAGCTGAGATCACACCACTACACTCCGGCCTGGGCAACAGAGTGAGACTCCATCTCAAAACAAAGCAAAACAAAACAAAACAAAACAAAACAAAACAAAACAAAACAAAACAAAACAGCCTGACTTCCAGTGCCCGTCTCAAGGCCTGGGGGAGACAAGGGATGGCTCAGCAAAGAACTCTGTCTCCACTCAGGGAGACAGCTCTGTCCAGAGTCTGCTGCGTTATCTGTGTGCAGTGCAGGGCACGATGGCACAAGCATATTGAGTTAGGAAATCCACACTCCTTCACTGCAGCTTGAGGCCACATGGCTGAAACATCTATTTCTCTCAGTGGAGAAGAAAGCTATATTGGGGGGAAAAGTACATATTAAGATAATTAAGGCCATTGACTCAACAGGATTTAGAGAGTTCTATTCAGGTCTGTTCCTTGGCCTAGGACATCCCAGAGGGTTATTTCACACTGATCCTTTTTGGGTAAAAATGTGTCTTCTCCAAAGTGGAAATATCTTTATTATTTTCTCTGACGACACTTGAACATGGTTAAAACATTCGTACAACACAGCAAATGCAAAACCAACTCCATGATCTCAAGTCATAGAAATAACCCTCGTTAATTATATTTTCCACACTACTTTTAATACACATTCACATTTACACGTGCACACACTTGGCTCTTTAAATATAAACAGAAATCTACAGATTATTTACGCCTCTTTCACCTAAGAAAGCACAATATAGCATTACAAAGATCTAACTTGTTTTTTAACTGCTTCATTGCTAGAAATAGCTGCATTGCTATAAGAGAAAAAAAGGGTATCAACTGAAATATCCATCAAAAGAGGATGAGTTAAATAAATCATACTCCATCTATGCCATGAAATACTATGTGGCCATTAAAAAACAGGTAAATACATTTATGCTCACATAAAAGTATTTCTAAAATAAATTTAATAAGCAAAGTGAGAACTCTTATGTATACTATAACACTGCTTTTAAAAAAAAAAGTGTGTGTGTATAAAATGTGTGTATACACACACATACACACACACAGTCTTTTTTTTTTTTTGAAACGGAGTCTTGCTCTGTCACCCAGGCTGGAGTGCAATGGCACAATCTTGGCTCACTGCAACCTCCATCTCTTGGGTTCAAGTGATTCTCCCACCTCAGCCTCACAAGTAGCTAGGACTACAGGTGAATGCCACCATACCCGGCTATTTTATTTTTATTTTTAAATTTTTTAGTAGAGACAGTTTCATCATGTTGGCCAGGCTGGTCTCGAAATCCTGACCTCAGGTGATGTACCTGCCTTGGCCTCCCAAAGTGTTGGGATTACAGGCATAAGCCACTGAGCCTGGCCGATATATTAGTTTTTTTAAGAGGATACATAACTGTAAGTAGTGGTTATGATGAGAATGAATTGTGTGTGAAGGAAACTCAGTTTTTCCTGTACATTTTTGTGCATGGTTTCTTTCATTCTTCTTCTTTTTTAACATATGAATGCTTCTTTACCAACTCCATTAATTGTGGAAGTGTATCTGCCCTGTCCATGACTATATCCCCAGTGCTTAGAACAGTAACTGCTCTTTATAAGGTCATTCAATAAATACTTACTTGAAGAACAACTTTATAGACTGATATATTGAAAATGTTCCAGTTAACACCCTGCACTTGCGTCTCTGGCCCGAGATGAGGTTTGAGGCGGGGTTCAGCCCTTTCCCACCTCCCCAACGACACTAAGCAAAATCATCCTTCAAAATGTCCCAACTCCTGGAGTACTTACCAACAAAGGAAGATGTCTGTGAATGTCTCTGCTGTGGTAAAAAGTGCAAATATAATCCAGTACATCATCCATTTGACCTGTTGAAACAAAGCAAAACAGCTGGTGAAAAAGTCCAGGAAAAACGCTGCCCAACACCAGGAAGAACAGGCCCCGGCGGCGGATGTGGGGTCACGTCCAGGCAGCACAGCCTGCATTTGCAGCCTTCTCCCTATCCTTCCCCAGCTTATGTCCAGTTCAGCTCCAGATCTTCAAGCTGGAAGCAATTGGGCTGTTCCACAGCTGATTCAGGCTGAAGGCAAATGGCCCTTAAGCGAGCCAGGGAGACCTGCAGCCCAGGCGTGACCCAGAATTCAGTCAGGTCATTTTTCAGGACCAACATCAAGCGGGTAAATGCTCTAGGCCTCCACACAGACACACCTTGGAATGAAGTGTAACTGGGCCAGACTCTCTGGGACGGTGTGGTAGTAATCCCCCCTGGTCACTAAGCATCCTGATCTTCCTTTATGTCTCTCCCTTATGACCATCCTTTTCAATTTCTACTTCTTCTCCTCCCTAAGGCCTTGTCCCCTCTCTCTCGAACTAGTCTTACTTCCCTTGTTTCCTGGCTTTCCCCTCAGCAACTCATCCTAATACCGAGCCACCCCAGTACTATTCTCCTAAAAGTGTGAACTCATTGGACTACCACCCTATTTGAAATATCCTAGCCTGCAGAATGAAGTCCAGATTTCTTTTTTTTTTTTTTTTTTTGAGACGGAGTTTCACTCACGTTACCCAGGCTGGAGTGCAATGGCGTGATCTCGGCTCACCGCAACCTCCGCCTCCTGGGTTCAGGCAATTCTCCTGCCTCAGCCTCCTGGGTAGCTGGGACTACAGACACGCACCACCATGCCCAGCTAACTTTTTGTATTTTTAGTAGAGATGGGGTTTCACCATGTTGACCAGGATGGTGTCGATCTCTTGACCTCGTGATCCACCCGCCTCGGCCTCCCAAAGTGCTGGGATTACAGGCTTGAGCCACCGCGCCCGGCCGAAGTCCAGATTTCTTAGTCTACTCCTGTCTTCTGGCAAAATTGGGATAGCTTGTATTGAACTAAGACTCCTACTAATAATGACATTAAACACCAAACAAAATATTTCAAAACAACGGTTTGAAGGCACTGGAGAGCAATATAAAAAGGGATTCAAGCCTTGGTGTATAGGAGCCACACTGAGTTAGTACAGGTCAGTGTGGCTGAGGACAATCCCCACTCTGCACATCACAGGGGCAGACAAAACTTAAGCACAAATCCATGGTCTTATTTGTCCAAAAAAATGGAGAGTAGAGTTTAAGACTGCCAGAGATGCCGGAAGTGGAGAGGAAAAAATCTCAGAAATAGGGAAGCCATAAAGGGGCAGCCCCAAAAATCTACATATAAATTCTCTTCAAAAACTTGGCAGGCTCCTGATAGGCACAGAAGCAGGTAAGACTCCAAACAAAGAAGTTTGTATAATACATACATGGCTGGGCATGGTGGCTCACACCTGTAATCCCAGCACTTTGGGAGGCTGAGGTGGGTGGATCATGAGGTCAAGAGATTGAGACCATCCTGGCCAAAATGGTGAAACCCCGTCTCAACTAAAAATACAAAAATTAGCTCAGTGCGGTGGCACATGCCTGTAGTCTCAGCTACTCAGGAGGCTGAGGCTGGAGAATCGCTTGGACCCGGGAGACGGAGGTTGCAGTGAGCTCAGATCATGCCACTGCACTCTAGCCTGATGACAAAGCAAGACTCCATCTCAAAAAAAAAACAAAAAACATACATATAGATATAAATGTAGATAACAACTGGAAAGCTGAAAAGCTCAGAGCTGAGCAGAGATTCAGCTTCTGTCCACTGTTGGGGAAATAAAGCTTGGAGTTCAAGTCATGCAAAGGTAGAGGGGTTTGGTAAGCATTTTGGAATTTCCAGTGAAACATCTGGAAGACCACATCTTAGCAGTAAAAATTACATCCTAACACTAAGAGATTAGCTCTATGACTAAGAGCAAAATTGAAATACACCTGCCTAAGCAAAACTTATCTAGCTGCTACAGGGTCAAGGTGATCTGCCTGAATTTAACTGCCTGCTCAAACAACACTCAACACTCTTTACAAGAAGGAAATAAAAATCTACAACCTAAGGGTCTATCAATGGATGACAGGATAAAGAAAATGAGGTGTGTGTGTATATATATATATATATATATATGCATACACATATATATGTGTGTGTGTATATGTATGTATATTATATATACGTGTGTGTGTGTGTGTGTGTGTGTGTGTGTGTGTGAGGAATACTACTCAACCATAAAAAGAATAAAATCATGTCTTTGCAGCAATATAGACGGAACTGGAGTCCATTATTATAATTAGAATAACTCAGAAACAGAAAGTAAAATACTGCATGGTCTCACTTATAAATAGGAGCTAAATAATGTGTAATATGGACATAGAGAGTGGAATAATAGACTCTGGAGACTTGAAAAGGTGGGGGGTAGGAGGGGATGAGGGATGAGAAACTACCTAATGGATACAATTTATGCTACTTGGTTGATGGTTACACTAAAAGCCCAGGCTTCACCACTATGCAATATATCCATGTAACAAACCTGCACTTATCCCCCTAAAGCTATAAACTAAAAAATATATAAGAAAAATGTATAAAATACCTGGGGTTTCCACAGTGAATCATACACAAGGTTCTGTATACATGTGAGGGAATAGGAAAATATAATCCATGGTTATGAGAAAAACTGGTCAATAGAAACAGATCCACAGATGACTTCGATATTAGAATTAGCAGACAAGGGCTTTAAAAGTATCAATATGTTTTGAGATAACTAGATATCTACATGTAAAAGAATAAAGTTGGACAACTTCACACCATATACAAAAATTAACTTCAAACGGATCAGAGACCTAAATGTAAGAGTTAAAACTATAAAACACACACATATTAGTCTTTTTTTTTTTTTTTTTTTTTGAAATGAGGTCTTGCTCTGTCACCCAGGCTGGAGTGCAATGGCGCAATCTCGGCTCACTGCAACCTCCACCTCTTGGATTCAAGTGATTCTCCCACCTCAGCCTCACTGGGGCCTCCACTTTGTGACATACTTCAAGGAAGTGTAAGAAACTTCTTTTCAGTTTTTACTTGACTTGCGTGACTTTTCAGCTAGTAGTGAAACAATGACATACTGAGAAGTTCTCTCAACACTACAATTGGCCTCGTTTCCCACTTGCTTTTCTTGCCACTTTTTCTCAGTCTCTTCAATTCCTCCCTCAGGCTCTGTTCTAAACATCTTGCTTCTAACTCTAAATTATACACTGTCCCTGGGGAAAACTGTACATTCCTCACCTAATACAGCTAACCACTCCCCAAGTTCTGTCACTTCTATCCTCTTGCTTTTTTCTTGAACCTATCTTATTTTTTCCATTCTCCTCTGCCATTTCCTTACTTCAGACCACCACCATTTCCTGTTTAGAATACAGTTACAGCTTTATACTGGTCTTTATACCTCTGTCCCCTTCACAATCCATCCTCCAAATTTCAGCCAAAATGATTTTATTAAGGCCAGGCATGGTGGCTCATGCCAGTAATCCCCACACTTTGGGAGGCTGAGGCAGGTGGAACACTTGAGTACAGGAGTTCAAGACCAGGCTGGGCAATGTGGTGAAACCTTGTCTCTATAAAAAACACAAAAATTAGCTGGGCATGGAGATTCACACCTGTAGTCACAGCTACTGGGGTGGCTGAGGCAGGAGGATCACCTGAGCTTGGGAAGGTCAAGGTTGCAGTGAGCTGTGATTATACCACTGCACTCCAGCCTTGGCAACAGAGCAAGATCCTGTCTCAAAAAAAAAAAAAAAAAATTCTTAAACCCAAAGTAGGTGATTCTCTTTCCTAGATTAAAGCCTTCAATAGTTCCCTACTGTTGTTAAGATAAAGCCCATATTCCTAAAGTTGACTTGTGAGGCCTAGGATGAACTGGCCTGTTTTTTTTTTTTGAGGGGGGACAGGGTCTCGCTCTGTTATACAGGCTGAAGTGCAGTGGTACGAACACAGCTCACTGCAGTCTCGACCTTCTGGGCTCAAGCGATTCTCTCACCTCAGCCTCTGGAGGAGCTGGGACTATAGGTGCATGCCTCCATGCCTGGCTAGTTTTTTTGTATTTTTTGTAAAGACAGGTTCTCACCATGTTGCCCAGGTTGGTCTTTAACTCTTAAACTCAAGTGATCCATCTGCCTCAGTCTCCCAAAGTGCTGGGATTACAGGTGTGATCCACCATACCCGTGATTTGGCCCTTACTGATTTTCATCAAAAGCTCATCCACACCCCTACGCTCTCACATTTTCCACTCCAACCATAGAGGGCCTCTCAGTTCTCAGCAGAGCATCTTTTTTGCCTCTGATTTCAGCCCTTAGATCTCAACAAAAACGTGACTTCCTCTAGGACTTACCCAAAGTTTGGGGAAGTACCCTCTCCTTGTCTTTCTCTCTCTCTTTTTTGTTTTGAGACGGAGTATCTCTCTTGTTGCCAGGCTAGAGTGCAATGGTGCGATCTTGGCTCACTGCAACCTCTGCCTCCCGGGTTCAAGTGATTCTCCTGCCTCAGCCTCCTGAGTAGCTGGGATTATAGGTCTGTACCACTACACCTGGCTAATTTCATATTTTTCGTAGCGACGGGGTTTCTCCATGTTGGTCCAGCTGGTCTTGATCTCCCGACCTCAAGTGATCCTCCTGCCTCGGCCTCTCAAAGTGCTGGCATTACAGGTGTGAGCCACCACACCTGGCCCTCCTTGTCTTTCTCTACAGTACCACACACATTCCCTGTCATAACACTTACTACACTGCTTTCAAAGTACCTGTGTATTCCCTGCTTTTCCTGCTACATTGTAAGCTCCCTGAGGGTAGAGACCAGCTCTTCTTACACATCATTATAGCTCTAGTCTTTAAAACAGTTCCTGACAAATAGGTACTGAATGAATATGTTTCAAATGACTGGCTTAGAAGCTGGCATTGTGAATGGGACAAAAATAATGGTTTCAAAAAGGTTAA